TTGAGCTTTTAGTCTAACCACGAAAAGCATGACTTGATGTGACACCCTTTTCCACCACACAACAACTGCTACTCTCACAAGGCGCGTTAAAGACATTAATATCTGCTCTAATATTAACATATGTCGAGCATTCCCGGCTTTCAAAAGCTCCAGTCATAGTTGGCGTTGAATTGAGTGTTCGAACGTGTTGGTAATATTTCTTCTCTTGCGCGCAGTAACCGAAAAGATGAGCAGGGAAAATGTTATGAGTTGTTTTGGACGCCGAAAAAATAAACGAGTATGTTTGGGAAGTCAAGCCGCATCAGGATTACAGGATTACAAGACTTGTATGATGAGACTCATAAAATTAAACGGTTTAATGGCTTAATGTTCAGAGTAAGCACTTACTCGTACAACTCGTAATTTTTCGTTTTAATTCAAAGTTTTTAATTAATACAAAATGTGATATTCAGTAACGCCATCTAGTTTTAAAAAGTTCAAAAACATTTTTTGAGTTTTTGGTTATTCAGACACGTGTGTGACACAGTTATGGGCGAGTTATCACCATGATAAGTGCATTCGCAATTTACCGCCGTCATTTAGGCGATTTAATGCAAACCGCGCAAATTTTCGCCACTATCCGCGACAGTTCTGACGAATGTGACGCCATCTACCGACAAATCTACTATATCACTGTGCGCGGCCAGCAGCAACATGATAATGAAGTTAATTATCTACTTCACAACGTAACAAACGGTTATTTCCGAATAAATCCGCCGTGAATATGTTCCGAATATCTGTTTCCACGTTAATTAATTACGCCGGACAGCTAGTTAAGGTTTTATTAAGAATATAACCAAATAAAATGCAGTTCGTATTCATTTAGTAAATAGTTTTCATGACGAATGCGCGTACTTCTATTTATGTGGCTTTCTTAATTAATTGCCACGATTTTACGATTTTCTTACGAGCGCGACTTGTATCTGTAGATGTAGTAGTCATAACTTATGACTTATGACTTTATTTCGAGCTTCGCATAGAACTGGTTCGTGCTTTTTTCCATCCTTTAATTGCCACCGACTCTAATAATTTCGATTTTATAATTCATTAATTCATTAAGCGAATTAAACGCGCGCCGCCGACGAGGCGACGATGGCGCAAGTTTCATGATCGTAACTTTGCGCTAATTAAAATCGTATGCGACGAATATCATGTTGAAAAGTTTAAATTTTACAGAACCGCATCTGTAGTTTTATCCACATCAAAAAAGTCATAACAATCTAAAGTTAATTATAAATTAAACTAATAGTGCGGTACTTAAGAAAGGGATGTCGTTACAAGTTCCTCGAAGAACCGTTCATAAATTTTTAATTAATGACTTTAAGGTGGTCGTGAGTTTGCGCCAAGGTGCAAACGATCGGAGACGAAACAAAAATTGAAAAATCCACAGTAATTACACATTGACAATTTATTAAGGCGGAATTTGTTATAGCAAACGACTCGAATTCCAGTCCGCAGGAAGACATAGAATAGTTGAGCAATTAATTGGAATCTATGAAAAATCGATTTAATTAAAAACGAAATTCTTTCCACATTCGAACGAATTGAAATTAATTGCTGTCAATATAGAAATTACTTAAGGAAATGGCTTCATTTGTAATTTACTCAAACTTATTTTATTTTATTTTAATATAGATACAAAAAGTCGAAATTGGTTGAAGTGACAGTTCGTATGTGACGCGTTTCTATAGCATGCGCTGAAATCAAAGAATCAAAGAAAGCAGAGGAAGACCATAAAACGTGAGCGGTGACAGGACGGGGCGCGCGCTTCTGTTGCGCTCGCGACGGTGAATTGTTTTCCGATTCAAATGCGAGACAATCATCGGACGGACGTTGATCGAATGCCGTCGAACGTAAAAAAATCTCTTTAAATATCCGACGAGCCAAAGACCGTCCAACAGATCTTCTTGTGTCCTTCATTCTTATTCATTGGGGGCTTCAAGTTGTGAGGAAAATGCGGAATTTTTGGTTTTGTTACAAAATTTCTGAATTTGAATTTGAAATCGGAAACTTTTTTTTTTGTTAAGTTGGGAAAAAAATTCCTAAGAAACAAAGTGATTGTGAATTCATGCAACGTTCGATTGTTCCCTAAAAGACAATGGAGGAGACTTGGCGGTGAAGCAAAAAAACCTAATTGGTTCTTAAATAATTGCTGCCGGCTTTCGGAAAAAACTCAAACGATATACAATGAATTCAATTTTTTATTTAATATTATTAAGAAAGTTGTGCCTCCACAGTCTGCCGACCACTGATTTTATGTCGTTGGTGTTTTAGCCTCGGCTAGCATTTCCATTTTGATTTTCATTTTCAACCGAGCGCAATGAGTTTTAGTGAAATTTCGTGCAACACATGCGGAAGCCATTCCGAAACGAAACCAAACGAATAACCCGCGCCCGTCCGAAAACTCACTCACTCAACGCGCGCGCAGACGTTTCGGAAACGTTCCAGAAACCTTGCGAACGTTGCGCATAATTTAAATCCGAATCTAAATCGAGCTCCGGCTTGGGATTCACTTTAAATTAAACGCGCAGTGCATCATAACCGCGCAGAGGAAGTTGAAATAATAAAAACATCAACAAACCGAATAAAATCTGTTACTACCGCTGGGAAAAAATAACATTTTCTGATTTTCTGATTAAAATAACAAATTTTCTTGTTTGACTTTAAGATTTCTCCTCGGGAGCAGATGTTTCTAGTTGAATTTTGCGCAAAATGTTGAGGCCATTTCCAGACGTATACATTTAGCTAGGTTATTTCAGTTATTTGATCAATTATACGTCAAACACAATCGAGGAAATGGACGTCCAGACTGGAGAGGGCGCATTGAAAAGCTGCCGGCGAAAGCAATAAATAACGAGGCGGGCCAATAAGCGAACAAGACGTTAGACGCCAGACGTTAAACGCACGGCACCGAATATTAGACGCACTTGGCCATTTTATTATGACTTTTTTATGTTTCTCTATCCCGGCGGGTATATGAAATAAAATTTTTGGTGGAGGAGCGAGCAGCAAACCAAAAAAGAGGAAATCAAAAGTACCTAAAAGTAAAAGCACCGGAAACCTGCCGACATTCTCAATTCACCAAATTTGTGATCTTGGGAAATGTTTGCCGATAATAGAATACTTTCAAGGTCTGCTAGGGTAATATTTTAAGTGCAAACTACCGTGCAACCCCTACAGTAACTGCAAGTAATATTTTTTTCCTCGGATAATCGAAAACAACGTAATATTATAAATCTTTTTAGTTTTTTCTGTTTTGTTTTGCACATCTGCCTTTTTGTAGCTTTACATATTCAGATGCTCAACAGAAGCAGTGGTCGATTGTTGGTCGCGAATTGAAGTCAAAGTCGGAGTCGATGTCTTGAAGTTGATGTAGGAGCACACGCTCTCGCCGCATGTGTTCCCGCATCCCGTGTTTCTTCTCCACGCCCGAATAAGGTCGACGCCGGCGGTGCCCCGAAAGATATACGATTCGCCGGTCTGATTTACACACAGCAAGCCTCCGCTCTGCACACTCCACTCACTACCTTGCATGTAATCAACGTGCAACACCATCTGCCTGACGCGTTTAAATATATTCTGATCTGCAACGTTTCACATAAACTCATCTGTTGGATTGCAAGACCCCAACTGAACTCAAGAATCTCAACCAGAGAAACAAAGATCTCGACTTTCATAAAGAGTTTTAAAATGAGGTTAGGTTTTGTTAAATTGGTGGCTCCCATGGGTATAATGACAATTCTCGAGTATTAATTTAAAATGATAAATGACATTGACAATTAGTGCATGTGTTTAACGAGGAATGGATTTGCGAACCCTTCGATGCATATGCAACCCTTTTGTCCAATTTAGATACTTTATCCACTTTGCAAACCCTCTCGCCAAGCACTACGCACTCACCAAACAATAGGGGTGGTAGTCATCTGACGCGTCACATAAATTTTAGCACGTTCCAAGTGTCTGTCAAACTTTGACGAACACTTTTCATCCGACGCTAAACCCCCGGACCTTTGGGGAATCCTCCAATTTCCAATCCTACAAATACCAACTTTGGAATGTCTGCCCTCATACCCTCCGGGGTTGCACTCTTGCACGGGCCTGCACAATCCTGCAATCCGATTGAAAATATCAGCGGTGAGTGTGTAATTGCAAAGGGTTGGTCGCTGACTCAAATCCATATGTGCCTTGGGCTGGAATTTTTGACCAGTAGACTATGCAGGATGGGTATTTGCATTTCGAATCTGGGGGAATTCCGCGCGAAGGGCTTACGATGCAATTATTCATTATCGCAATGTTTGATCAAACGTGTGTAAGCCCGATGTGTAAGCTCTTGTTTTACAGCTAATTTTGTTGGAGGGAGTCGGCGCGCGATGGTAAAGCGGTTTAATGCGCGATTGCCGTGCGGTGGGCGGGCGTGTGTTTTTGACTTTTGGGGTGCATGCCCTGCGATTGGAAAATGGAGTGTTTGCTTTGCAGTTCTTTGATGTTTGCACAGCCAAATGGAGGAGAAAACTCTAACGCTAACAAGCTACTCACACCCTTCAATAGCCAACCCAACTATGTGCATGTAAAAATCTGAAATTGATTACTTTCTTGGCAAAGTTTTCCTAATGCGAAAGTCTCCAAGTGATTTATTTGCGGTTTAATTTACTATATAAGTTATAAGCTTTTGTCTAGTCTTGCTAGTGTTGCTAGTGCTTCTAGTTGTCTTCGGTTATAATGGAAGTAAAGCCTGTGATCCAACTTGTTTGTCAGCAAACCTGACATTAGTGCGACTGTGCGACGCTCATCACGCATTCATCTCGCGAACTCTAATTTGCCACACAAATCCAAGACTTTTCCTCGTCAGCCCTTCACCACTTCCACATCCACAACTCGCGTTCGTTCACAATCAACTATACAACTCCAGTTACTGCTTTTCAGTCGCCCTGCTTCTCATACAGCGCCTACTTCTGTTTCAGATTCGGAAACACCTTAGGGAGTGCGTGTGTTGGCGCCTCGGGAAAGGGTTCGCAAAAGGTCCCCGCTGAAAGTTGGCTAGGAAAAGCTCGCTAAGTGGTTTTCCAACACGTTTTCCATCAAGCGCACCACCCTCGCCATCTCGCATGTAGATGCTGCGAACAGAAGACGCACGTCCGCTCGTCGGCTTCCTCGAAACCCACACACCCTCCACGCACAGCCTGGAATAAAGGAAGAAATGCGTGGGAAGGTAGGAAATAGGAAGGTAGGTCAAACGCACTCATGCCTTCAAGTCTTTCACACAGCCAACTCGGAATTTCGTATGCGTGATGAATATAATGTGTTTTAGTAACTTTGTAAAAGTTTTTGGAATGCAATGAAAACAAAGGATGTTAAAAGCTCTGATTTCATAATAATAGGTATTACATTAAATATTATTTTATCTGAATCCGTCTGCAGCCAGGTTATAAATTAAACAACAAAATGGATACGTGGAAAACAACTGTAAAACAATACTAATGACATTTTTATTTCATCCAACATTGGACCACAAACATAATTAATAATTTTACGAGTATTTTTCGATAGCTAATCGCTTGCTTTGTTATGGTCGACATTTGCTTGTCCAGACATTTTACGACGCTATATTTTTATATCATTTTTCATGTTCTTCTATCAGTCAAGAATCCGGCTGTGAATGGAAAGCACTAAAGATCACAATATCACAAGCGGGAAGCAACTGTGACACAACACTCAGAAAGCATATTCTAGGCGTGGCTTCCCAAACAACTTCTTACTAAAAGTCTACGATTCGACACAATTCAAAACTAATAATTAAGTTTAAATCGCCTTGGATCTAGCGTTGGGTATCCACTTAATCCGGGCATTTCCTCCCCAAGTTGCTGCACACACACTCACACGCCCTCATGAGTGTTCCTCGGGATCATCGCCGACCGGCGCGATACGACCACTTATATCTACAGATAGAAAGCGGTTATAAAATATCTATCTCGTTTCGATATGTAGTCATGCACTCGCGTTACATCCTCGAAGCTTACGCCCGGCTTTGCTAGCGCAATATTTCAATTAAGAAAACCCTCGTACCGTATCGCGCTTTTATTAAGAAGGGATAGGTTATTACGGCATGTTTCCGGTTAATCCACTGAGGAAAATATGAAAATGAACGATATTGAGCTTGGGAACTATCAAAGGGTGATAATATAAACTTAGCTTCATACTAAGTATCTTTACCAGTTAATAAATTAACCAAGTTATTTTCCGTGGATATTTTTGTTTTTGTTTTACACTTGTTGTTGGGTGTCGGTGCACTTCAATCATAATACTCGTAGTTTTAGAAGAGGACATTCTGCGGAAGGCCATCCCAGGACACATCTATTGTGCACCTATTGTATTTCCGCCACACAAATTGCACCCCACGTGGGCACAATAGAGCTAACCTGCACAATGGGCACAATGGCGCGTCGCCGGTCTCGCCAAAGCCGCCACTATTCGGAGTAGTATGCACGAACAGGAACTGCGAACATGGATATGGATAGAGGAATATTCATTGAGGTTTCGACGCCGAAGTTTTTGAATTTGAGAAAATTTAATTTCTCTCCCTTTTATTATTTATTTGTTTATCTATAATATAAAAATGAATAGTAAAATCTGTTGGTAAGCGCATAACTCAACAACGCCTAAACCAATTTGGCAAAATCTTTTTTTTATATGTTTGTTAAAGTCCAAGGATTGTTTTTACGGCGAGAAAAATTCTAATAATTGCCGGGAAAACCTTAAAGACAGCCCTTTTCTATAGGATAAAAGTTGGCATTGAGATTCAATCATAGTTATAGTTAAATAGTGGAATCCGAGATGGCGCTCTGACGTGCATTATTTGGAATTCTTTATATATTTAATTTGTTTAAAATAAAATTGCGAATCTTATTGATAGAATTGACACATTCTATGGCTAGAACAAGAGAGTAAAAAAGAATTACATTTTTATTACACACTACCGGCATGAAATCGCGGGCAAAGGCTAGTTCAATATAAAAAGCATTTAAGTCAACATTTTCGATGAAAGAATATTTGCTAGTCCTGTAAATATAAATTTGTATTCATGCCCCGTAATGTTTCCCGCACACCCTTAAAAAACCCTCCAGCGTTACGTTCGACACTTCATCTGACACTCCTTTTCTTCCTTTGCCTTGGTTCCTCTCATTTTACTCGTCGTTCGCGAATCCCTCAAGCAAATCTTCTGCGGGGCATTCAAGGTTGTCTCTCGTGTCTTTATTGAAGCGCTCCGAGGCGCGGCGACACTCAACAAACGAACAAAGATAATTCGCGTCATTTAAGTAATTCGATTTTGTGTCACAGCTCTCGGCTCCGGCGAGCCCTAGGCGACGTAAGGGCGAGGCCTCCGCGGATAGCTTTGATGACACCTCTGACACCTTCAAAAGCTCTTATTTTGACAACCTCGGCGAGGGCTTGTATTGATATAACAAAGTGGGCTTAATCAATTAATTAAAGGCTGCGGGCTTGCTAAGTCTAGAGGAAAATATAGCTGTAGGAAGAGGAAAAATCATGAAAGTAGATGACGCTGAAATTCCGAAAATTGTAGATCTTAAAGGTCCCCGGAAGATGTGAAAGATGCAAATGACTCATTGAGGCCAACCTCGCTTGGCAGTATCAATAAAATGAATAGACGTTGAGATGAAGGGATGAAGAGATGAAAGCAAAAAGTAATTGTTTTGTTTGCTTTGAATAAATGCATCGTCGCAAGTCCTTGGAGATGATATCATTTCGGATCTCATTCGGAGATCTCCCCGAGATGAGCAAATCTGCTAAGATCACGTTCAACATCATTTCAACACATCCTCTCGCGCCGAGATGCGAAAAAAAGATAAAAATAATCAAGAAACGCAAGACGACGAGGGAATTCTTTGCCTAAGGTCCAAGTCATGTTTATATCAGTTAATCAGTTAGCAAAAATGTCCCGAGGGAGCAGCCCATGGGATGTCGTCGATGTTTTGACTGGTCTTACTGCAATTAGGCCAGCGAAGTCTAGTAAAGTTCGAGCCAACAGTGCAAACATCCTAGAGGCAACACTAACAAATGCTCGAACAACACGACGATATAATATAATAATAGTAATTTTATTAGTGTCCCGAGTGTCACCAGTGTTGCCATCAAGTGACATGTTGTTCACTTCGACGATTAACTTAATTTTTTACTTAGAAAAATACAAAAAGAATACAATTAATGACTTGGTCATGTTTGAGAAGTAGAAAAAGTCATATATGAAACAATATTGTAGGAAAAATATATTTATATAGAGGTTTTTTTCTGCGGGAGAAAAAATTCAAAAACTGGAAATCATAATATTTATTTTCATTTTGCAGGGTTTATTTCTCTACCTTTATAAATTTTAAATGGAAAACAATAGGGATTATATTTTACTAGCTTTTGTGAGTGACTTTGTCCGCGTAGATTTTAATAAAAAGTAGTCCCACTAATTAGTTTCTTGTTTCTTGGACCTATTATGTGCGGATACTGTCAAAAAAGAAAAATTTCTATTTTATTTTGAAGAAATGTGAAATGTCAATAATTCAGTTTAAAATTTAAAATTTAAAATTCTTATTGTAAACTAGCTTTTGTCCGCGACATTGTCCCGATAGTGTTTAACTCGTTCGTAATTCGTTTTTACTCTCTTGTTCTAGACATAGTATGTATCAATTCTATCAATAAGATTTGCAAAGAAATTAATTATATAAAGAATTGCTAATAATGCGTTTCAGCCTCAGCGCGCCATCTCGGATTCAACTATTTAACTATAACTATGATTGAATCTCAATGCCAACTTTTATCCTATGGAAAAGGGCTGTCTTTAGGGATTTCTCGGCAATTATTCCAATTTTTCTCGTTATAAAAACCATCCTTGGACTTTAACGAACATTTTAAAAAAAGAATTGGACAAATTGGTCTAGGCGATGTTGAGTTATGCGCTTTCCAACCGACTTTTCGATTCATTTTTATATTTTAGATTTAATATCTTATTTTATACTTTGAAAACTATATTTATGACACATAAATAACATATTTTTTTCTTTCCTTGGCCAAAAATATCTCAATGCTAAAGTTTATCAAAATTAGTTTTGTAGTTTTTTGCGTAACAAATAAACAAAAAAAACCAAAGTTTGCATTTGCAATATTTGTTTCAATATGAACTTGGTTGCCATAATTCACAAATGCACAACATGCAACTTTTCCGAGTAATCAATTACTGCACTAGTCTACAAAGCAAATAAAAAAAGCGCATTTGCTTGTGTTTTGAAACATTTTATCAAAATCGTAAATCAATACCGACTCCCAAAGCCGAAAGTCGTAAATAACAAGCCATTAGCAAGCGCATTTGAAATTATACAATCAAGCTTGCTTACCTGGTGGCTGTTGGCTTCGTCGCGGTGCATTAATTTCGCTTTATCTCGCTTCCAACCCGAACGCGGCGCATAAACGCAGGCATAATTTAGATATCAGTACGCACTATCGCTGCTCCCATCCTTACCAGCTCGCGCGCCGCGTGTTTTGTTACATTAATTTAATTTAATTTTCGTTAATTAATGCGCCCACTGATATTAATTTAATTATGCATCACATTGCGTTAGCCACAACCATCAAAAAGTATCGCAAAGTATCAAGATGGAGATTAAACGTTAGAATGTACTTAGGCCAGCGTTTGCTTGTAGCTACAAAGTCTTGGTCGTAATTTTTTAATCACCACTGTGAAGATGCGCTCGTAAAATGTAAAAAAATATATAAAAATTATGCAGCGTCTAGCAAACAAAAAGCGTCATCATTAACGTTCGCTATTTGAATATAATATGCGGAGGAAACTTTTGGAAATTTATTTCTTGTAGTTGTAAAACTGGCAGGCTGATGTGGCGCGGCTGCAATTAGATAGTAAACTTAATTTTTATTTCCTCACCTTATGTGATGGATGCCATAGCGCTTTATTATTATACAGCGCGTAAAATTCATTCAGTCACGGGGGAAACGAGAAGCTTTCTGGCCCGTATTGGTATTTATTATGAAATAAACGTGTAAAGTAGCCATTAAACTTGCATTTTTACACTGCACAATACAATACTATTATTTTCACACACAATATGTTTCGATTTAAATTTTCGAAATTCCTAATTTTAATACATAATAGTATATTAAGTAACAAGTGGCTAAACGAGTCTTTAACAACGTTTAGCCACGAGG